GAATTTAGGGAGCACTTAAAATGTGAAATAATCATTTCACTACCCGACAAACCTCCGAAATTTATTCATTCATTAGGCCTAGTTTAATATGCTGTACTATATACTCCAACATCACTGGCGCATGGTAACAACCAACTGACTGCAGACCATTTCCGGTCACACATTACTCTCCATAACCCTCTAGTTCCGTCACCTCTGGATACTTAGTGTGAGGCCGATACAGAAACTTGTTGAGTCGATCCATTGTACGAATAATGCATAATTTGGTGATGACGAAATAATATTCTGATGAATATTTAAACAATGGCCGTATTCAACTGGTCGCTCTTTGTTAAACCACGCCCACCTGCGCAGCGGTAAAATCTTAACGATGACGACCAGTCGAATAGAAAACTTGTAAATACTCGACAAAACACAATGGCTGTATAGTTAACCGCGATATACGTTGTGTAATCAAGATTGCTTCAACTTGTGGCAGTATAAAAAAAATATTTTCATCCAGTTTTTGAATTCTGTTAGCCTACAATTATTTTTTGACTCCATGTGGGTAACTCTGGTTTACGTTATTTTTCGTTGTCAACGAAGTCTTAACGAACCAGTCGAATGAAAATAATACTCAAAGAAAATTGGTACTCAACGAAATGAACCAGTCGAATAAGTCCATTGTTCCTCGTGGCTGCTAGATTTATCTTTACGGAGGGTGTTAGATAATTTCGGAGAGCGCCACCAGCGTTTTAACGGAGCAGTGTGGCCAGGTGTCGGCTGCAGCCTGGAACTTGTCATTGGTCCCGTCCGTGATCTTGTATGTTAGCCTCCTTCCCCGGAAAGAGTACACGATGCATGTTTTTTTTTTCATTTTCCACTAATGATTTCATTTGTATGTAGGAAGGCCTAGTAGTAGCTTCTACGTCCATTTTATGACAAAAGGAAAAGGAAACCCAGAAACCCGTCCAGGAAACCCGTCACTCTACTCGCGCTAGGCCGTTTCAGATACAGTACTTCAGTTTGAACGTACCGGGTAATTTCCCGCTAAGCTGTTCGTTTAAAACGGCACACCCTGGGCCTAGCAGAAAAATTTTCGTCTTACGAAGTGTTTTTGATGAACTATTTGTTGACTGCCACTAATGTGAATGTTTCCGTGAATTCTTTGTGTTCGTCGTGATACTGATGATACTTTGAATTGCTCTTAATTATTAATAATTATAACTTTGCCGCCATTTTTGTACCAGCCAGACAGATGCAGTCTCAGTAGGCCTAGTCAGAAGTTTGCTGACGGTATAACGGCATTGATGAGGAATAGAAAAAATACTCCATTCTGAGCCGAGATTTTACTGGGTCTCACTTTGTTCAGAAGAAGTAAGTTGTCATATTTTTGTGTTTTCCGAAATAAATGCTAATATATAATGTCTCTTTTCTTGTATTGAGGCATGGCCGGGTAGGCTCAGCCTGGCTGTTGAGGATCGGCTCAGGCCAAGGGTAGGCCTACTAAGTTTTGGACCTAGGCCTTGGCTACCCTTTGGCGGCTCACTTGTATATACGAGCTTACGGGGGCATGCAGCAACCATTCTAAGACATAAAACACTTGCGCTACCTATTTTACTGAAAATTATTCGGTCTTGAATTACCATTTACCAAAATCCGGAGTTGGTTGAACTACTATGACGGCCATGTTAACCTACCAAATTAAACTTGTACTGTTCCCGATGGTGAATAAGACCGCGATTCTGTCTGTTCGCAATCCCTACTGTTTGTTGTATCAACGGTAGGTTTAGCACGGAGGTTAGCAAAAAATCTCTGCTAAGATCGTGTGAAATGATATGCAACTTTGATATAGGACGGGGCAGGGACTTTAACAACCAAATTCACCCAGGTGTTTCTCACACGTGTGCTATCTAGTCCTCACAAATATACCCTGTACATGCTGAAACTCTTCCATAAATTCCCACGCTTGTGCTACTGTACCAAGTTCTGAAAAATACCACCGTAAATGCTTAGGAGCTAGGCCTGCATGGCCTGATACCATAAGAATAATGTAAATGGTCGCAATTGTTTGGAGGTAAGTGTCCATTTTTGCAGAATACTAAACCCGGCCTTTTCTGAGGTATTTTTGGATAGAATCTGAATCTGGTTGAGATGGGTGATTTTTCTTTGGAACCAGCTTCCTATTAATATAACTACTTCATCTAATCTCTGCAACTTTAAATTGCAAATTAAAACCATATTGTTCTCCGAGATTATCACACTTGTATAGTGCGCCTTTGATCTTTTTTGGAATTGCGCCTTATAAAATCCTGATATTATTATAAGTTGGTCATACTACTGTATGTCCCACCATTTAAGGTACAGTACTATAAAACGAAAAGTATTAAAGGAAAATTTTTTTTTATTAAGGTAAAATAATCTTTAACACATTTCTGATTGAATTTTGAAAATAATAAACATATGGGTTATTTTCAACAAAACCCGCCTAAAAATGCTTGTCCTAATTTCATTTCTCCAAATTTCTAAATGCCATAACGTGACTGAGATGATTTTTAAATGTATTTCCTATGTTACAACACTAAAAATTGAATGTTGATAGTACACATGTATTAGTGCATATTAATATTATTTCTTCCAAAAGTGTATGGCAAACATCAGGCCTCGAATTTGGGGATTTTATAGGCAAGGCCAAATGGCCTCCGGTATGACATGATTTTGAAAGGCACCAAGGCCAAACTTTCAAGTATAAAAGGGCACCCAAGGCAAAATTTGATTTAGCCTCAGTACTAATTTCTCGCGAGTGCCTTGATTCGTCGGTAGCCAGGCTAGGCAAGCTAGGCCTAGCCAAGCCATAGTTGTCAATGGTAATATGACTTTGTTTAGAGTATTCTATTAATTATCGATTCAATGTTGGAATATACTGCGGCGATCGTACAAAAGTCAAATTTCAAGAAGTTCGATATCTTTGTGCTGTTGCTCAGTCCGTCGTCATCGGAGAGGAAGCCACAACTCCAAACTGGCTGCGATGACGCAATATCGCCCAAAGTTAGCTGTGCAGCAAACACATGTTTACAACTATACAAAGGCTGTATTCGACTGGTCGTTCTTAGTTAAACCACGCACACCTGCGCGCAGCGGTAACATCCTACTCAACGAAGACGACCATTCGAATAGAAAACTTGTAATACTCGACAAAACAAAATGGCTGTACAGGCCAGGAAGCAATTTGGAAGTGGGGGGGGGGGGCCAAATAAGCAGTCGATAGCCGCGGATATTTGACGAATTTTAGTGATTTTTTTTATTAAGTTATTTGATAGGCATCGTCCTCCTGTAAAATGACCTAATTATAAAACATCAAAATATTATTACAGTAATTACTCATACTAGGCCCAAGCTTATAAGTTCTTTAATCCTCGCCAATAGACCGAAAGAGCCCTTCGATGGCAAGCATTCTTCAATTAGGCAATCCTGCCATATAGACCCTAAAGTAGCTCCTGTTATTTTTGCAAATAAATGATATGCAAGACCAGCAAAAATTAATTAAATATGTATATCAAAATGTAATTAAAATCCATATATAGGGTATATAGATTGTTGCTCTTTAAATTAGAATATGAGCGAGCCCTATACAAATCTTGTTATTAATTTGAGTATTATTATTTATAAATATTAAAATAATATAGGTCAGTTGGCCGCAATATATAAATTTTGCTTTGCTGTTATAAATTGCAAGTGTTAAATGACATACAGGATAAATTGTAAGTGTTAAATGACATACAGGATCTGTGATATATTCAACTTGTGTAATTGTGTAACGTATATTATTGTATTAAAAGTCTGTTTTAATATTGTATTATGACTGTACAGTATGTTACTTTTATGAACACACTGCAAGAGCGTGTCTGCTGTTTTAAAAGCGTCGTTTCCAAAATAAAGTTATAGTAATTATAAAATTGCCATGTCATTTTTGGAGTGACATTCACACTATTTGTACTTAAGTACTGGTACGCATCCTAATGGTTAAATTGCCTATTTAACTTTCCATTAGATTTATCTATAATATATATATACTGTATATATTTTTTTTCATTTAATTTTTAGTTGTAACGTAATAGCTTGCCTATAATATACAAATATTGATTTGGCCTATAATGTATAATTACCATATATAGGCCTAGGCCAGGAGGTAGGTCTCGCAATTTATATATATATATTACTATTATAAACAATTAAAACAAAAGAAAAGATTACAATTAATTAAAATACGTCAGGTCTTCAGTCTTCGTTAATTAAATGTGACGAATTAACGATAAATGAAAAAAATTCCAATTCATAATAATTTAACGCGAGCACAGAATTTACCCAAACACGCACGCGTGCAAATATTCGATATGAATTCTAATAGCTGTCCATACTAAGTGATGTTAATTATAAAATAAATAATTGTAAAGCCAATGAAGTGTGTGAAATTAATATGCAGTGTACGTAACTCATATACGGGAAGATCATGACACAAAATGGACGGTGTGTACCACATGACTTTCGCAAACTAAGGAGCGGAATGTTGCAACTCTTTATATATATCCAGTTTTTTTTATTCTGTTTGCCTACAATAATTTTTTGACTCCATGTGGGTAAATATTATATTATGTTTATTTTATGAAAATTAATCTAAGTTATATTAACGCAAATGTTGTTAATAAAAATTCACCAATCGGCCATGTTTCTCTTTGGTCACGTGGGTAACTTGACGCTGATTAACGCACTCTGGTTTACGTCAATTGTTGTCAACCAGTCGAATGAAAATAATACTCAGCGAAAATTCTTACCAACGAAATGAACCAGTCGAATGAGCCCATGTTTATATTGCAATAACCGCTAGAGTAAGACGCATGCGCACACAATGGTAACCGCAAAAACAGTTTGTATCAACAACACACATGGAAATTCTCTCATGTTCTGTTCTGTCACTGCAACCTGGCTTAGGCGACCTACGTTTTTGGCTTTCATGTTTTCTTTCAAGATTTAAACGTTCTTACTTAGATTTATTTTATGTGTCAAACGATCTATATCAGGGCTTGCCCTAACTTTTTTTGGTAACTAGCCCACTGGGCTAGTTTACTAGAAATTTTACTAGCCCACAGAATATTTTACTAGCCCACAGACAGGAAAAAATTTTGTTTCAAAATATTTATTAGC